GGAAAAGATGCTTTTGGAAATACAAATCTAGAGAGACACAGTCAACTCACATTGGGCCCAGTGGTTAAACACACTAATGATCATTTCAAAGTTTGATCATTGTGACTGGATATGTAAATAAATGAACTGGTGCATATAATTGAATCTCTGATCAGTCAGATAGATTTACACAGATCTAGCCAAATTCAGCCCTGATGTAACTTCACTGAAGACAATGGAATTAAGCCAGGAATGGATGTGGCCTTTTATATTCCTGAGATTTGGATTTAAATGGATCCAGCACCCATTACGTTGGCATCTGATCATCATAGCAAACTGAAAACAAAACCTAGGAATGTGTTACCTGCCACTCCTAACAAACAACGTGCTGCTAGCCATCCCCGGGCACTGCCACACAGATCTCACGCAATGGCATGCCCGCTCACGAGGGAGATACTTGATTAAATACATGTCTCAACATGCACCGAAAGTCCCCAAATTTGGGAGCGGATAGATCCAGAGCAGATGACCCTCCCTTGAGAATCCCTGACTACAAGCGCTTATGCGTTTAACGCTGGGATCTGACTGCAAGAAGGCCCCAGGCCATTGGGGTGAAAAGAAATTCGCTGGGAAAAAGAATTAAAGCCCCTTTATGGCAGCAAATGCCAAGTTACAGCTTACAGAGCAACAGTTACTCTACCACGTTACTTCTACCCATTAAACATATGGCATGTGCAAGGAAAGACAAACCCTACATGTGCACAAGGGATGCAACATACATCTGTTGGGACAACCAGAGCCAGAATAAACCAGGCCTCACCTACTCAATCCCCACACCTCCAGCTTTGGAGGGTGGGAAACACTTCAGAGAGACAGAAACAAAAGGATCCCACCCCTATCACCAGCTCCGAAGCGGTGACTAGTTTGGATTCTCTCGCTTTCACAGCAGAAAGGTCAATGCTAGAAACCTTCTCTATCCCCCAGTCTGTCACTTCATGAACTGAATTACAGCCAAGTGTTCTGGGCACAGAGTCAGCTGCCATCTCTCTCTGTCTGTCGCTCCCTTTCACCGTCTCCCCTCGCACACGCTTCCCCTCGGGGAGATCTGTCGCAAAGGCCGAGGCAGTGGTAGCATCACCGCCCACGCAGGAGGGGAGGCAAAGCCGGGGCCTTCTAACTAGAGTGCCTCTCCACCGCAGCGGAGCAAGAGGCACGTCTTATACACACCAGCCAGTCTTTCCTTCTGGCCCCTATGGAGCCGGGGGAGAGGCAGTGCTCAGAAATACGGAGTCATGAAACGAAGAACTGGGATGCGATCTTTAAACAGCCGCAGGATTTCAGGGATTCCTCCTGCTCCGTCAGCTTCTGCGGGGTCTTTCAGCGTGGCTCTGTCCCACCTTGCACCCTTAGATGGGTGGGCTCGCCGATGAGCAGTGGCACCAAGCTAGCCTTTCATCGGGGACAGCTCTGGCACCAACAAGCGGGACATTTAACCTGTGATAGGTAAGGGCCCGATCCTGCATGCTGCTAAAACCCCCAACTCATTCGACTTTAAGTGGAGCATGGGAAGCAGCCTGGCACCTTTCAGGATCAGGGCCTGATTTCTATGTGATTTCTGCTGTACAAACTTCAGCCAGCGTAGCCCACAGAGATAATGCTCGCTTACATTCTACAGAAATGTGTTGAAATGTAAGTAGGCCCAAAAATCTAGCTCCTAACAATACGCTTGACAATAGCTGGTAAAATTGGAGTGACGTGAAATGAGATAGTTCAGAGGCCAGCTACAGATAAGTTCGGCCGTAACCCCAGGGCCCGTCGTAAACATGTTTTGGTCCTCGCTGGTTATTACAAGTGTTTTGGAAAGCGCTATCTGTATTGATAGTTACTGGTCTGGCTTTTACGCAGATGTTAATTAAGACGGTGCTCAATGTTAAATAGCCAATGAGGGAGTAGCAATATTTAATGATGGCAGCAGAAATACAGATATGGTAAAAGTTGGATTTAATGTTAACTCATGGGGAGCATGATTAGAATTGATTATGCAAAGGGTAGCATACTGATTTGAGATAGGCATGCCTGTCCACCATCACAGAAAGGGCTGTACTCACTTTCCATCCAGGGACTGATCACCCCTGGGTGCACTGTTCATCTCAGAGTGGGAGTATCAAGCCAGTGTGTGGGGACACTGCGATGCTTGTTTGCTTTATTTTATTTTAAATAAAGTAATTTTATCACTCGTCATGTCAGGCTCAGTCCTCCGCTAAATTTAGTTATCTGGAACCGCCTAGAGGCTCAGATGCGAAAGAATTCAGGTTGGTTTCATCCCTTATCTTTGAACTACGAACACACAAACCAAGGGTTATTCCTGGACACTGGGGGAAAAGCTCCAAGAGCAGAAGGAACCTGCTCTGTGTTGGCTTCCAAACTCCCTCTCTGGAGGTGGTTTCTGTGTTAACCAGCTGCAGAGCTGCCTCATGCCCCCGCTTCTTTAAGTGTTGGTGGAAGGTGCTGGATTAGCAGCCCTGGAAAGCCAAGGCCCCTCTCCCGACAGCACTGATGGCAACAGCCTGGCTTTTCCCTCATTGCCCCTGCCCCTCAGCCATGCTCCCTGGCCCAAGAGAGCCAGCTAGGCAGCCAATTGCAGCGATGGTATTGGGAGGTGGACACTTGCCCATTAGGAATTGGCCTGAGACCACGAATCTGATTTCACCTGGGCCACTCAACAGCCTTTGTACGTCTTGATCGCTGCTAATCTGGGCTGGATTTGTGCCCGTGACCTAGAACGGAGAGGCTCGTTTCTATTAATAGCCCTGAGCTAGTCACCGTGCCCTTCCCCCTGCCAGCAAGCACGCAGTTCGCAGGAGAATGAGACCGTGACAGATCCCAGGGAACTGTTGTGAAAGGGAGAGCCCTGGGATTCGCACCGTGAAGTGCAGTGTACGGATGGCTCCGTGGGACACCCCCTCTGGGAAGAGGATTTGCTGACCCTGGCAAAAGGCAGCTGATTTCCCAGGGCTGGCCTCTCCCTTTCCAGACTCGTCACATGATGGATGTCGTACAAAATTAGACCCTGAGGGACATAAGATAAGTGAAAGCCCAGAAGAACTAGCTGAAGGCAACGTGCCTCAATGTCACAACTAGCGTGTAGTTCAGTGCACCAGACAAGCCCACTTAGACACACGGAGGCTTCCAGTGGGCCCCAGCCTCTCGAGAGGGCATCAACGTACGTGGTGTCCCGCGGGGAAAGCACAGGTGCTTGGAGAATAGCCTTGCGGGGCAGAGGAAGGTAGCCACGTGCGGTGTTAGCCCAAGGAATTTTGCTGTAATCTGCACAATCATTCAGCCCATCTGCAGTCACTAGGTAAACACTGCACTGCCCTGGGTAGATTAGCAATTGCAACTGTTACAGCTTTCTAAAAAATGGAGATATCCTATCTCCTAGAACTGGAAGGGACCTTGAAAGGTCATCGAGTCCAGCCCCCTGCCTTCACTAGCAGGACCAAGTACTGATTTTGCCCCAGATCCCTAGGTGGCCCCCTCAAGGATTGAACTAACAACCCTGGGTTTAGCAGGCCAATGCTCAAACCACTGAGCTATCCCTCCCCCCATAGTGTCTCTGAGGTGCAGTCGGTTTGGAGGCTCTCACTGTGGGTAGCTGATAAGACTCAATATGAGGATGAGGAGCTGCCACATTTCCCAGGTCCGAGAGGGGCAGGAAGATGGCTGGAAGATCAGACAGCAGCCCTTTTTCCAGAGACTCTCGCAGAGCTTTGAGCTGTCCTGAGATCATGGGGGTTACTTTAGCCCTCTAAGTCATGTGGAAATGGGGACTTGGTTCCAGGACAGCAGAGCTCACTGCTGCTCGCGCTCTACATTTCTAGAACACCTGTTCTCCGAGGGGCTCCCAAAGCATCTGACACACATGAATGAGGCGATTGTCCAAGCACATATCTTGAACACAGGCCCGAGCTGCAAAGTTTGGATGTGGACCCAAACTATTCCAAATAGCCCGGATTCCCTCAGGCCAATGCTATGCGCAGCGGTCTCGGTACTATACAATGTGAAACCTGGATCCCTGAGATAAGACTCTTCCTCTTACCCCAGCCCGCGTACCTAAGCAGGCGCAGCACAACTTTGAATCAAGCAGGGGCAAGAGAAGCGGGGGGGGGGGGAAGGGGTTGTTGTTTTTCTCCCTCTGGAGTTTCCAGCAGAGGAAACCAGCATTGCTTTAAACATGCCCCTGCAGCTGGATGCAAAGCAGCAAGTGATAGAAGCCTAATAAGTAGGAACAAGAGGACAAAGCAAATTGACACCCGCGGCCCACTCATCTCCTGGGCACGCTGGCTAGGCTGGTCAGACAGGTTTGGGGCTGGGAGAGGACAAGGCTGAGGCTCCCAGGAGTTCCTGAGTCTCACCCATTGAGTGTTACACCTCTTTCTAGCCCTTCCGCCTCCTCCCCCCCCCCCCCCCCCCGCGAACCCAGAAAATGGGAGGGGCTTGCACCTGTCTGTTCCCTCAGCCCCCAGACACGCCACCTGCCAGGCAGACGCGGAACTGAGCTGCCAAGCGACACACTTCGGGCTTTGCTCGTTCATCAGGCCGGGGCCCCACTTCGCAAGCCCCCCGGGGCCCCTGTCTGGGCAGGCCCAGCTGCTCGGGCGCCCTGCACCGCCAGCCCCAGAGCAGGGCAGGCAAAGCCCAGCGGGACACGTGCTAGAACCCAGGGGGAAGAGTTGAGGGGAAGCCAACTTCCTAAAGGGGCGCTGGAGCCGCCGGCAAAGCCCTGGGGCCTGCAGGGGACGGGGGAGCTGGGACAGGGGGAAGCTCCCGAGTGCAAGTGAATTTACTTTTGCTCAACTTCTGAGTTTACAAGCGATAAAGCCGGGGGGGAGGGGGGGGAGTGCCTTTCCCGCATAGAAACCCGCGCAGGGAGCATTGATCACTCCTACTCCGCACGTCCCTAGAAAGTGGGGGGGTGACTTTGACCCCCCCCCCCTTGCTCGCCTTCCCCAGGCACTTACCTTCCTGCCGGGGTACCCTGGGCGCAGCCAGCTCCCTGATCTTCCCAGCCCACGTCTCCGCCAGCTTCAGATTCTCCTCCGGCTCCGGGGCCACGCACACGCGGAAAGTCCTGGCGAGGCGCTGCCTGGAGGGCGAGGCGTCCCACCAGCCCTTGCGGAAGGGGTAGCAGAAGACGGAGAAGTAGGCGGCCGGCTCCGGCTGGGGCTCCCGGCCGGCGAAGGCAGAGCAGCCGATGCAGTCCGCCAGCTTCAGCGCGGCGCCCGGGCCGGCCGGCGCGGAGCCGACCCGCTGCATGCGCAGCTCCCGGCCGCGAGTGAGACTCAGCGCGTAGCTCGTCTTGGGAGCCGGGTCCCGCAGCGCGAACACCCCGTGGAGCACAACTTCGGCGGAGTCGCTCTGCGGGGAGCTTGCCCCGGGGCCCGGCTGCCCGCCCTCCATCGCTGGCTCATTTAGCAGCTGGTCCAGCAGCACCTGATGGGGCAGAGAGAGAGAGAGGCAGAGCCGCCGCCGCTGCTGTCACTTGCAGGGACTGCCCCTGCTGCTGGAGCGGCTCTGGCACCGGGCGGGATGGCTCTGGAGCCCGCGCGCCCTGCTCTCGGCTGACACCCGGCGGCGTCCCTAGGGCGCGGCAGCGTCTCTGGGTTCATTCACAAAGAACTAGGGACTATCAACCATTTACCAGGCCAGGAACGGATTCCCAACAGCTGCTGGACCAGTTGCACCAATAGCGGCAGTAGGGTGACCAGATGTCCCGATTTTATAGGAACAGATCCGATATTGGGGATTTTTTCTTATATAGGCCTATTACCCCCCACGTCCGTCCTGATGTTTTACATTTGTTGTCTGGTTACCATCCTGCCTCTTAAAAGGAGTGGAGCAGGTGTGATCTAGGGGGTTAAAGTGCAGGGCCGGGTGTCAGGAGAGCCGGGCTGCCTTCCTGCTTCAGATTTGCTGTGATACCCTGTTCAAGTGACTTCACTGAGCTGTGCCTCAGTTTCCCTATATGTAAAATTGGGGAGAATATTATTTATTAATTTATTAGTGTTGCAGTACCCAGGGCCGGCTCCAGGCACCAGCTTAACAAGCAGGTGCTTGGGGCGGCCAAGGGAGAGGGGCGGCACCTGCGGCAATTCGGGGGCGGCGGGTCCCTCACTCCCTCTAGGAGCAAAGGACCTGCTGCCGAACTGCCGCCGCCAATCGCGGCTTTTTTTTTTTTTTTTAGCTTGGGGCGGCAGAAATGCTGAAGCCGGCCCTGGCAGTACCACCTAGTAGGCGCCCCAATCAGGGACCCCCATGTGCTAGGTGCTGTACAAAAAGACAAAAATCCCTGCCTCCCAAAAGCTTTCAGTAATACCCGCCTTTGTCAAGTACTATGAGAAAGTGCAGGGCACATTTTAAGAGGTTCGGCATGTGGTGCATGATTGCGGGCACTGGAAGGGCAGACGTACGCAAGGCAGAGAAAAAAGACCTTGGATGGAGGATGTGGTATCCTGAGTGGATCAAAAGGACTATTCATCCACAAAGAGATTAGCAGAGGATCATACAAAATGGGCTACCATGGCTGCAAACCTCAAGTAATGGAGATGCCGCATAAAAAGATGAGATTCTCACCTTTCTATAGACAAAGAGCAACCATAAATGTTGTGTCTATTGCTTTGATTTGACGTTAAGGGGACCAACAGTAAAGTCTCTCTAGAAGAGAACAAAATGTGAGTGTCTCCTCTGCATAGAACTGCTCACAAAACAGCTGCCAGTCTCAAGGCAAGTCTACACTTAAAATGCTGCATCGGTGCTTCTGCTTCTGTAGGGCGTTCATGAAGATGCTCTAAGCCGATTGGAGAAAGCGTAGTTAATCCACCTCTCTGAGAGGCGGTAGCACTCTGTCGGCTGTGGGGTGACCAGACAGCCAGTGTAAAAAATCGGGATGGGGGTGGGGGGTAATAGGAGCCTATAGAAGAAAAAGACCCCAAAATCGGGACTGTCCCTATAAAATTGGAACATCTGGTCACCCTAGCGGCTGGAGAAGTTCTCCTGCCAGCATAGCGCTGTCTACACAGCAAGGAAGGTTGGTATAACTATGTCGCTCAGGGGGTGTGGATTTTCCACACCCCTGTGCAATGTAGTTAAACAGATACAGGTCTGTAGTGTAGACCACACCTCAGAAGACAGCAGAGTCCTTAGAGATTTAAAGGTGCAGTACACAGAAATATACTCACAACAATGATGCCTCTAAAATCCTCACAAAGGCCTCAGGTTAGGAAGCATTGTACAAATGACATAGAATTATTATCCTCTTCTGTGTCTGTGCAGTGCCTAGAATAACGGGGTCCTGGTCCAAGGGACCCCAGGCACTACCACAATACAAGTAATAAACAATAATGGTGATGTCAGAGACCAGGTCCTGCATGGATTGGTTGGTGCCCTAGAAATACCTAGGATAGCAGGGTGAGTGAGTATCCCAAATAGCTGTGGAACAATATGACCCTTCTGCCTTTCACTGGGTGTTCCTCGGCTGCTGGGCAGAGTTTTCGCTGTCTAGTTTTTGTGGGACTTGGCAGTTTTTAATCAAGGAAGAGTTTGTGAAAGGCGTTGGGGATTTGTGTGCCCTAAGAAAGGGAGCCGACATGGTTAGCTGAGTTTGTGAGGCCTTACACTCAATTCCAGGGCATTTCTATTTTTTTTGTCTGTCTGTCTGTCTGTCTGTCTGACAATAACATTTGAATACTGCATCCGATCACGTCCAAATTTTCAGGGATTGTGCTAAGCATCATTAGCCAGAACCCTACTGGTTTGGGTGATAATTGGTACATCAAAAGAGAGGAAAATGGGAGCCACGTGGAGCCACTGTCCTCTGTTAACACCCTCCAGCAGAACAATGCTCCTACTCATCCTCCCAAGAGAGTTTAACAGGTTGACACCCTGACTGACAGAAGAGAAATAATAGCTCTCCCTGCTGGGAAAGGGATGGGCTCCATGCTCCGCCAGAAGGAGAGGAGGCTTCATTCTTTTCTGCCTCTTCCAAGCCTGTTCCAGGCGAGGCAGAGAGGGCACCAGCCATCCACCCCCCACTCCCCTCCAGTCTAGGGGGAAGAAAGGTACTTTGGCACACACAGAGCACCTAGTGTGATGTGCACGATGGGGGACATTGGCTGGGGGAGGGGGGAAGGAGGGCAATGGGGGGGAGACAGAGCCCCTGGCTTGGTGGTAAAAATGGGAGAGCTATCTGGGGGGGAAGGGAAAGGGGGAGAAGGGCCCTGGTGTGGTGGGGAGAAAGGGGATCCAGGGAGGCAGGGAGAAATGGGGGGAACGAGGGTGCTCCCTGGCTCAAGGGAGAGAAGAGAGGACCCTGGTGTGGGCGGGGGTTCTGTGGGTCGGATCCCAGCACTTTCGGGACTGCAGTCTATGGGGCCCCTCTGATTCTGATGTGCTTGCGCATCAAAACCCTGGTTTCAATGCATTCCGTCGGGACCCCTGAAAAACCAGGACGTTCCTGGGGAAGTAGTGTCAGCGTCCAGAGGCTGGAGAGCTGTGGATTTCCCCCCAGTGAAACCCACTCCAGGGAAGGCGTGTGCTCGGCTGGTGCTGCTAATAACAATACAGGAGACGCTTAGGACAGAGCAGAGACAGAGAGTTGGCACAGAAGACCTCAGCGATTAGGGGGGCGGGGTGCTAGTGGTTGACAGATTAAAAAAAAGCTGGAAAGAAGCAAACTTCCCTAAAAGGAGGTGTAAGGGCGTGGCCCAGAGAACAGCGCGATGGGCTGGGATCCTGCAGCAAGAGGCTATGCCCCGATCCAGACGGGTAGAGCACAAGAGCCGGTGACCAGGAGAAATTAATCCAGGGCAAGCGGAATGAGACTGGATGGAGGGAGTGACTGAAAAACGATCAGGACTAGTTTAGGGAAAGAGGTAACACATCTGAGGAATGTGAACCCATGGTGGTTTACCCTGCCCTGAGCTGATATGCTAATTGTCATCCCAGGCACCCATCCCTCTAATTATTACCTGGAGGAGGAAGGCGAAAGATTGTCAGTTGGCCTGATTCTGATCTCGCCTACACTTGTAACTCCACTGGCTCCGTGATGTGCACAGATGTGAGAGGAGAACCAGCCTCATAGAATCATAGAATATCAGAGTTGGAAGGGACCTCAGGAGGTCATTTAGTCCAACCCCCTGCTCAAAGCAGGACCAATCCCCAACTAAATCATCCCAGCCAGGACTTTGTCAAGCCTGACCTTAAAAACCTCTAAGGAAGGGGAGATTCCACCACCTCCCTAGGTAACCCATTCCAGTGCTTCACCACCCTCCTAGTGAAAAAGTTTTTCCTAATATCCAACCTAAACTTCCCCCAAGGAGTCTCTGAGGCAAGTGTGTGAGGGCATTTCTGAGCTTAGAGTGAGGATATAGAGTAGGGTGCTCTGCTTCTCCTAAAGGGAGCTCCCTGTATCATCAGAGCAGTTTGGGCTTTAAAGGAAGAATGGACAGTATTGTAAGACTGGTGATCACAGGGTATTCTACACTGCAGTGTAAGCCCACGGTTAGTGGGACTCGAGTCAGCTGACTTGTGCTAGGGAACCCTGCCCTTGTGCGTCTACATTGTGTTTTAACCCTATGTTAAGACTTTTCTAACCTGTGCTTGAATCTAGGGCTCTGGCATCCACACTGCAGCACGCAGACCAGAGGCCCTGGTGCCCCACCTCCACCCCAAATGTGGCCACTCTAGCGGTGCACTGTGGGAACACTTCACTGCCTGCCCCGCATGCTACAGGAAGTTGGAAGCAGCTGGCTTTGCAAAAGGCTTGATGGTTCGCTCTCCCTTGCAAACCCAGGAGGCTCGCCAATAGTGTGCTTGCAGATCAGTGATCAGAAGAGAATGGGTTAACGCGACCTGAGCTGCAAAGGGGCATGGCTTCCATTGAGGAGTGGATTGCAGATTGTTGGAATAGAGAAGACTGAGGAAGTTATCCCACAATGGGGCATTTCCAGCTGACTCCTGGGACCCAAGTCAAGCAGAGCTGCATCTACACTGCAGAGAAATAGGGCTTGGACTCCAGGTCCCGGCTTAACTCAAGCTTGGACGCTCCAGTCCTGCAGGGTCCTTGGACCTTGAGCCTGAGCTCTGGGTTAGCACAATTGCAGTGTAGACACAAGGGGGGGTAGGCTTGAGCCTGGGCTGAGGCATGGGTGTACACTGCAGTGTAGACATACCCTAAGGCTCTAGAACCTGCGAGGTAGGAGGGTCCCAGCGCTCGGGAGCAGCCCAAGCCCAGAAGTCTACATAGCAATGAAACAGCCCCGCAGCCTGAGCTTGCAGGTGTCTAGTTGCTGTGTAGACATAACCTAAGACTCCTATAGCCAAGTCTCATGGTTAGTGAGCTCTCTCTCTCCCCTGCCCCCCAAGGCCCAGATCCCAAGGGCGTTACCTTTCTAAATACCTTTGTGGATATGG